AAGTGAAAGCAATATATTCTAAATATTTAAAGTTTGTTTGGTTGGCTGTAAAAGAAATGCAAAATAATCACTTTTACTGTTTAGAATTAAATATTAAATAATTTTTTAAAATTAAATATTTATTATTTAAATACTCATTTATTTAATTATATAATATTTGACAATAAAATTATATTAAAATATACACATGATAAAATATGTATAATATTAATTTTTTTTTTAAAAATATTAATCAAGTGCAATTATTTTTAAATTAGTATATTTAGTTGCAAAATTATTATGAGGAAGTAAAAAATCCTCTTTTATGTTAAAGCGATTGTTCTTAAGGTTGAAGGATATAGGGGATTTATCTGTACAACACAAAAAGATTCATTATGCTTAAAATTAGTAGTCAAATTTTAAGAAAATAAATTACACATTTTAATGCATGATACATCAAAAAATATTAAATTAATTCAAATAAAAATTGGTGATACAGTTTTGCTTGAGATTTGATTGAAATTAGGGAAATTTACATAAGTAGCACACAATTCTTATGTATTTACATATCTCACACCTAAGTTTTCATCTTTACATACATACCATTTTGGTGATTTAAATCTATGCTTGAAAAGGTGTATTTCACTTTTCAAAATTGATAATAGTATTATTTTTAATGTGATATTAAAGATGTGAGTGTTATGCGTGTATATATAAAAGTTTAGATGTTATATATGTCTTTTTAGGAAGACTTGGGCTCATTGTATAAAAAAATGATACTAATTTATTAAAACTAAATGAAAATATGACACTAAATAGGACGCAATGGAGAAAAAGGATTTATGTAGCCGACCCCACGTAGTGGGATTAAGGCTTTGTTGTTGTTGTTGTTGTATATTAAGTTAAACATATAAATTTGAATTTAAGAATAAAAAATATAATAATTAATATGATTTTAACAAAAACTAATTCACTATATGCCCACCACCAAAGTAATTTAAAAGTGCGTGTCCTAAAACTATTTTTTTTATTTATATATGAACAGTACAACAAGTATTTATTCCACTAAGTAGTGTCGGGTACATAAATCATTTTTCACCATTGGGACCTATTGAGTGTCATATTTTCATTTAATTTTAATAAATTATTATCATTTTTTATAATATATACCCAAGTTTTTTTTGTCTACCTCTACCTTTCTTAACATAAGACAAATCTAAAACATCTACTCTCCTAATAATGTGACCAAAACAGCTAAGGTGACTCTCTAATCTTCTCTCCCATTGGAGCTACTCCAACCCTTTCACGAATATATTTGTTTCGCATTTTCTCTCTGAATCTAAAGGCACTCATCCGCCTGAGCACTCTCATTTCAACAAAAATTAATTTATTTTATGCTTCTCTTTCACACGCCAACATTCTATGTCATAACGCATTAGAGATCTCACCACCATTCTACAAGATTTTCCTTTATGTATAAGCAGTACTTTTCTATAACACAATAGGCCAAACGCATTCCTCCATTTCAACCATCCAACTTAAATTCTACTAATAAGTAATAACATCCCCAACTATGTCACCAGCACTTTGAACAATAAACTTGAGAAATCTATAAAGTTCACTCATTTTAATGACTTGATCACCTATTGTTACAACCAAGCCATTAGATCTACTACCAAAATTACATTCATGATTTGATAGTAAAAAATTGTGAGAATTGAAAATGTGTAAGGCTGCAAAAATAAGAAATTGAAGTGGGCATTGAAAATATTAAATGGATTGCATATTATAGGAATATTATAATTGAATTTTAATTTTTTTTATTTTATAAAAATTTTATTCTTTTAAATTATTATAAATTATACTATTAGCACAATTTAAATTCTTATAATAAATTCTTTTAATATTTGTTTATAATATATATATGTCTTTTTTTTATTTTTCAAATATATTTAATATATATAAATATATATTTATCTACATCATACATGTACAATTATATCTTGATGAGCTTTATACCAAATTTTAAATTTATAATTATTAAAGATGTTACTTATGTTAAGATTTTCTTTATTTTGATTGCATATTTATGACAGATATATATTATTATATTATTCAAATCATATTAAAATAAATTTAATATTGATTATGTCATCAAATTCAACTCATATGAACCTTTGAATCTTGAATCTCTTATATATCCTAGAATGAAAACAACTCCATCCCATTTACTTACTAATTTCTGCTCTCCGCCATAAAAGGGTGACAGATCTTTCCTATCACAGGAGATAATAATCTTTGATAACAGTTTATATGAAGTAAAAGTTGTGATTTGAGGGGAGATAAGTGATTACTTGTCCAAATCCATGGTAGTAATGGTCTCGGGAGCTATAACCACATCAGCAATTATACTCTCTCATATCTTTATGCATCTAGTTACAACTACACACCTGAGTTGTTTGCCCATCGTCTCATCAATACTTACATAAGACGGATTCTGTAAATTTATTTTTATAAAATTCAAATAATAATCTATATCTTTAAACTAATTTCTCAACCTTAATTTAACCTTAATAAAATATGTTTGGTTTGAGACTGCGCTTTACAGTTTAGGCTTGAGAAAATCCTTGTTAGCAATAGTTGGGCCGTCACAGAAGAGCTTTCTCAAGCAGGGCGAAGAGACTTTCGGAGTTTGAGATAAAGAGAAACCCAAAAGCTTCTTGGTGTCGAGATATTGTATGCTAGCGATATACAATGAGAATGGAAAAGATGAGGAGTTTTTTCTTCCTTGTAGTTTCCCGTGAGTTGGAGGAGTTCGGAGATGAGTGCAGTTGTTGTCATTGATTTGACTCTAGAAAGGAAATGGAGAGTTACAAAAAACCTACTTAATCTTCTTCCTACTGCACTTCTCGTATCAGTTACCTAGGAGATGATTTCGTGAGGAGAGGCTTTAGCGAGAGATGATTTCACGAGGAGGGGCTTTCACGGGCTTCTAGTTGCAACAACAGAAAGGGTTTTCATTGAGAAGCATGCACCTAAGAATACATCGTACTCGGAATTCACTTGAATCGAGTGGGTTAGAAAGTCAAGAAGAAAAACAGCTTTGAAGTATTCAGAAAACGCAGAAGAATGTAGTGCATTCTTTATGCATTCCGCCAAACACCGAAAAAGAGAAAAATACAGATGCTCAAATACAATACACTTACTTTTCAACCGACCAAACAACTCCCAAGTAAAAAAAAATCCATAGATTGTACAATTTTTGTTGTAATATTTGTAAAAATCAATAATACTATTAGAAGATAAAGTAATATCTCAATTTGAAAGATTTTAGTATCTTGAAACTAATAAATAAAAAATGGGACGTAGATGAGAATATAATTTCTAGATAGATTTTAGTATCTTGAATATAAAAGCTCAATTTTAGTTTTCATATTTCATCGCTTACAAGATTCAATTTATGTTGTAGTTTTGATTACTATTTTACCATAAATGTTTTTAAAAAAATATTTAATGCACAAAATAAAGAGAAATATTTATTTAAGATTTATATTATAACATGTAAGGAAATAATGAAACAATAGTGATAAATTTCTAGAATTTTGGAGGCACCACAAAGAGTGTTAGTGAAGATTGATTAAAAGGTTATGGTCTTTTGAAGCAGTGCTGAAAATTTCACTAAAACTTAACAAAAACCTTCAATCAAGAAAAAACCAGGAATATTAATAAGTTTTGGATCAATCTCAACCAAATCAATTTAAACAACTAAAATGTAAAACAATAGTTTAGATAGACCTCTAGCAAAATTGAAAATATGAGAAATGATGGTATCCTAAGGATAATGAATGGAAGTATGAGAAATGATGGTATCCTGAGGATAATGAATGGGATAATGAATGTTATATCTATCTGAGTGAGACAGGTAATGGAAAATAAATTATGTTTGTTTAGGCATGTATAACAAATTATAGAAAATACATAAATAAAATGACATCAAAGTATTAAAAATGAAAAAGAGACGGACAAAGCCTAACATGGATAAAAGTTCTCAAGAAAAATAATTAAAATTGATTTAGCATCCCATGTTTTACAAAAAAAGGATGACTTAAGAATGAAGGTTAAGAAAGTAAATCACAAATACTTCAAAATTGGGATACAACTAATAATGGCAAAGATGCATAATGTTAAAAATGAAGTCTGAAACCTAAAACTCGCTCAATAATCACTCAAAGCATAATTGATTCAAAATTGAGTTCAATTACTCTGACTCAAAGATGAGACACTCTAAATCAACTTATTACAACTTAAAATTGACTCTATATACATACGCATACAAAGATATAGTTTCATAAATTATATTGCATAAGATAATATTATAAACAATAATTAGATAGATATATAAAAAAATAAACTTGATTATTAATTAAAAAATATTTTTTAAAAGAATAGTATTTGACTTGAATTAGCACAAAAGTCAATTTGAAATTGATCACTGGAACTTGCTCGAGCAAAATGCAAAATCTTTCAAGCCAACTTTAAGCCAGATCATTAACACTCGACTCAATATCACCCTTAATGTTGAATGTAAATAACTAAAATAAGATGCAAACATCTTAAAGCATCCACATCCAGAAAAATTTAATACACGTTTTACTTCGAAATGGATGTTGAAAAAAGGAAGATTTACTTGTATTTCACTTTGTAAAAGTCAAAATGATAATTTTTTTTATGTGATATGAAATATTTGAGTGGTGTAAATGTAAAAATTAAAGCATAGGTGTTAGATAATTAAATACATAAGAATTGGGTGGTATGCATGTAAGTGCCCCAAAAACGTTGCGTTTACCGAGTTAAAAAGAGAGGAAGAAAAACTCCAAATTGTGCCCTAATGAATTTGTTTCCGATGCAGAGAAGTTATATGGAAGTCCCCTCAAAACTTTAAAAATAAGATAAATCAAACTATCAAAACTCTAGCAACAACAAAGCATGACACCTTACTCCATGAGAAAAGTAGTACATACCTTGCAAGTGGTGAACTCCATCCTCCGATACTTCTCGTTCTCGGTAAAAATGCGCGAGTGCAGCATCGGCGTATAGGCCGCTTCAGCGCCATATTTCCGGCATAGCATCCGGAACGGTAGTTCGGAGTTATCCACCATGGGGGCGACGATCAACCTTGGCGAACCGAGCCGCCTCCAGTGCTCCCACGCGCGCTCCAAGCGCCGCTCACCCTCAAGCAACGGAACAACAGGGGCCATCGGAGGCGATGATGGCTCGGTGAGGGATAAAAAGCCACCGTCCGTGGTGCAGAGGCGTTCGTCCGGTTCGCCATAAGGTTCCGGCGACGCCGAGGGAAGTAAAGAAGCGGCCATGTAGCAGGAGGTGAAGGAACTTGACAATGAAAATGAGTTTACGTGGCAAAGGAGATATCGCTTGCTGCGAAGTGAAAGCAGAGGCGGACGAAACCACATGCAAAGCTCTAGGTTTTGACGGAGACGCGGGAGCAGCCCTCCGCTCGCTTAAGCAAGAGAGATTATTGCGTGCGGACACCGAGATTGGCTTAGATCACCGATTATTTCTATTTTTTTTATATTAAAAAAAAAATTTAGGTGAGGCCCACCGAAATACATCGGGACCGTAGATGAGGTGAGGATGGGGCCCCGCACGAAGGCTGCGTGCGGTGTCCGATCCGTATGGAATAATTTTTTCTTAAGCAAAGATTAGGGGGGATTCTTTTTTCTTTTTTTCTTTTTTTCTTTTTTTCTTTTTTTTAAATTTAATATGAATTTAATTTGCATGGAGGGTAAATTTTAGATTTTAAATCTAAAATTTGATGATTCAAAGAACTTACATTTTTTTTTATGTTTAACTGAAAATAAAAAATATTAGAAAAATATACATATGGTGAGCACAACTATTACATATTTGCATAAGTCTTATCTAATTGTTTATATTTACATATACATAATATTCTAGTTTCAACAATCTCTATTATATTTAATGCCCTCAATTTATAAAGAGTCTAGATTGTTTGTACCCCTTATCTTTTTGACTAAGCATATGCATATATGATGCGTACAACTCCTCTTTTGCCCTTATCCTGATTAGGGCAATGTTTAAGATAAATTCCTAATAACTCAGTTTTTGGTTGGTCAACTCCAGCTCAGTTGATCTCTGATCAGTCTATTTTTGTTTGGTTGGCCTATGATCAACTTGTCTCTGATGGTTCAGTCTTTAGTCGCTTAGCATTTGGTTGGCTAATCTTTGATCGATCGGGTTCTGGTTAGTCGGCCTTCAATCAACTAGCCTCTGATCGATCAACTTTAGATTATGTGTGTGTGATTGTGCTACTTTAGATGACCAAGCATTCTTTCCACAAGGTCGACCTTCTGACGTGTGTCGTGCTTTAAAGCATTCATTTTATGAAAGATTCGATCAAATGTCTTCTTATTGTACATATTTCAGTTCTCATATTTGTATCTTATGAGGATTTGTTATGATAAGAAAAAAAGAGTTAATTGCAATAATTGATTGGTTATCATTATTAACCGGCCCTAATGATCAATACTCCCTTGAATTCTGAGCCATTGATTGTTATAAATAAGGTGATAAGAGACCTTCTAGGTTTATGTGCTTTGCGCTCTTCTTCCTTCATCGGTTGTCCTTCTATCGTATACAAGCCTGCGATTGACGAGGTTTTAAAATCTCAAATTGATATCCAGATAATATCATGGTCTATGTAATGTTCACCAGAGAACAAAGTTAAGGAGCACCATGAAGGTTAATGGTGCAGGAAGGTTACAGTTAAAAGAGGGAGGATAGACCCCCACCCAGATGTGAGTATTTTCGGGATGGCCCCAAAGAATTCTCAACCAGTCGTCGCAACCCATGGCTTGACTATGGGCAAAGTCAACCATATAGTTGTCTGGGCCTCCCTGGTGTCTCAAGATGCCCACCCAGAGGAGCCTACAGCATTTGAATGATAAGAGTCGTGGATACTTAGGGTCCTTAATTTCATTGGTGACTTATTTGTCTTCATTAAAAATTCTAACCTTTTATGTTTTTAATGTTGTAGGGGGGTCTACTTTTCACACTTCGAGTCCTTACACTGCTCATTTAAACCATATTTAGTGAGTATGATTTAGGACTCCTTTGGTTGGATTCAATGCTTTGATTGAGTCCTCTTTTGAACAAGTTCATTCTTAAATTCATTGAAATCAGATATTCAAAGTGTAGACTATATTAACATCCTTCCTTATATTCTCACTATAGGAAAATGTCATCCCCTAAACTGATTTTCTCCTTTAAAAATGTAAGAAACATAGTACTCAATCTAATTCATCTCAATGGAGGATTTGTTATCAAGTTTGAAATTGGTTTTACTCACTTCAAGTTGACTTGTGGTGATCTCACAATTTCCATGGTAAACCCCTAAGTTGTTAATGAGAATGAACTCTTGACAGAATTCAATCTTCAGTCTGAATAGGATTTCCTGCCCTTGAAAAAGAGAATTGTCAGAAATACCCCAATTGTGACTATAGTTGTCATTGTGATTCTCGAGATTCAAAACCTTTATAACAAAATAAAAATTCCATAACTCATTAAAGTCCTTGAAATTCGTGAGCTTGTTGAAGAGACGAATTAAAAATCAATTCAAGTATTGGGTCAAATATGTAATGTTTCATAAGTATTTGAAGTTGGCTCGTCTTTGACGACTACTCTTGTGCTAACTAAAAATGAACAACGAAATAAGAATATAAGGATTCATATGAAAGATGTCCGAGCTAATAAGGAAAAAGAATTTACTGAGAGTGATGGCGATGAAAATAGATCTGGCCTATTTGAAACCTCTCCTATCTTGAGTGGAAGCATATTTCATTCACTTTTTTGCTACACAAGAAGAGGAATATTTGCATAGCATAGCCTACTCACCTCCTCCTTCTATCAAATACAAGCCTCCTAGTAAAGAAAATAAGAAACTTTGTCATATTAGTTTATATTACATACTTAAAAGGATTGAAAAAATTGAGAACTATATTATAACAGAAGTTCTCAGATCATCACGATATATTGTTCCAGAAAAGGAGAAGAAAAAATATTGGATTATCACATATCCTTCAGGAAAGTGTATAAATAAGATATTTTTAAAAATAATTAACTTAAATATAACTAAATAAATAAATTATTTTTTCACATACTATCTTTTTTATATAAATCGCTCTTTCAAATCTAAATTTTGATTCCAACTCATGAAATTTAACAATTACTTGATAAATTTTAATTAAATAACATATATAAATAAATACATAAACCTTTATCTCTTTATTTAATTCAATCATTTTTCTAACCTTAATCATTGCAAGTGAGTTATATATAACCTAGCTTATTGTTTTTGAGCGAGTCTTTCATAAAATAGAAGGAAATAGAAGAAAGAGACAAATCAATTCCCATACACTAGCAAGTGAGTTATATATAACCAAACAGTTCTCATACACTAGCAGTTATAGTAAACAAGGCCCTTTGTGATTTCTCATGCACTAGCAGTTATCCCATGAGTAATATATTATATCTAGCATCAAAAACAATAAATTTCCAATAACCACCCCGTAACGCCCGCGTGTCGTCCTCCAAGGGACAATAACTATCCTATAATCACGCAAAGACGTACCTGTAATCGGTCGCCCCTCACTACCACCCTAATAACCTTCATATAACCACCACATGATTTGAAATCTCCAATAACCATCTTATAATCATGCAATAACGCCCCCATGAATGTTCCTCGATCAGGTTGCGGTACCGCCCCAATAACCTCCCTATAACTTTCGCATGACCTCCGCAATATTTGTAATTAAACCCACACGTCTCACTCCAATAATCATGGTAAATTGTAAAAGACAAAATGTGAGAAATCATTTTTGAAAAAAAGTTTTAGGTTTCCCTTTCGCGTGCCAATGAGCTGGGATTTCCGCTAAAACGTTGACACACGCTTGGATTTTACAATGCGTTTTCGAAGCAAGATTCAAATGAAAGGGAATGACATCGTGGAGACTACGAAGCCGAGATTAGAAGAGGTGAAGAAACCAGAGTTGGAAGTCGCGAAGATGCCGGAGTTCAAAGATGCGAAGAAAATGGCGCAGGTCATATGAAAAAGGAGTCGAAGAAGGAAGACAATGATTTCGTTAACAGGCAGCAAATCGTTTCAAGGTAATATTCAGATTCAACTTGTTGATAATGAATCAGTTGACATTTGTAAATGTCCTAATGCAAATGAATTTACTAATCTTCCATTTTGAAGTCAGAAGGCTTTTTTCTGGTTTTTAGATTCTTTTTGTATGTGATAAACTTTAGGGTGATAAACTTTAGGGTTTAGAAGTTCTGTATCATGAGAGTCCTATGAGTATATGTGATAAACTTTAGAGTGTAGAAGTTTTGTGACAAAATAATATTTAGGAGTAAAGCATATCTACCATCATAGTTGCATTTATGTCTGCTAACATGATTTGCATACTGCTTTAAAAAAACAACATGGTTGCATAATAAATTTAAAAGCAAAAGAATTATAAATGAAGTAAATTTAATTTTGTTCAATTCAATGAAGTCTTATATATAATTAACAATTTAAAATTTTCAAAAAATTGTTCATTCATATACAAAAATGTCTTATGACAAATCCTTTAACCTCTAATATGTAGTAGTTAAGTGACCACATTAAATTTAATCAATCAAAGTAACTAAATATTTTGTTGAAATTATTTTCATTTCATATAATTTATTTTTTAAATTTTTATTTTGTTTGAAAGTTTGTTTATGTATTTATGTAGGTTTTTTAGCACAAAATTCATTAATTGCAGATAATTGTCCATCTGCAGTGAGAGGAGTTCTTGATAAGGTCTGACCAATCATTCAAGAGAAGACAAGGAATAGATTGGAAGCAATGAATTTGGTTCAATTTTTTGAACTCCCTCTGTACCCTCAAGATCATATTATGACAATGCTTATATTAAACTGTTGGAATATTGATCGAAAGGTATTCAATTTGGGTTGGAAAGAGCTAAGTTTTGATCAAGACCAAGTTGCATTACTAATAGGCATGCCCAACAGAGGGTCACCAACATGCAAGAATAAAGCTCCGTCATGTAGCGTGGATGCGGGACAAATAAAGAATGACATAGAAAATGTTTTAGCAGGGAAGTCTTCTGATCGCTTTGTAACACTATCTCTTAAGTTTTTGTTGACAAATTGAATTTTTTCTTTCAAGTAATTTTAGTGTGTCCAAAGGGTTGTATTCACTTTGTGAGGATGTACATGTTTTCTCTTTGCATAATTGATCAGCTATAGTATGTCACTTTCTCACCGAGCAATTGATCGTCTGTGCCATTAAAATACAGAAAGAGCAATCATTGAGATGCATCAATGGTTTTGTATTTCTTCTAATGGTATGTGTTTTGCACCTAACTCCTATAAGTTTATTTCATAAATCTTGATGTGGCGATTAACTATTTTTTCATGTTTTACACAACTCTGGTTCTATGAGCACACGTCTTTGGTCCTCCCTACTATTCCAGAGGCTAGACTTTACATGCTGAGGTGGCCAGTAAATGTGAGCTAGAACTCATTACAGATTGAACTAGCCTTTAAGAGGCTCAACCCTTCCTAGGTAAGTCATTTATTTCATAATCCCTAAAAGTCTTTTTAATCTCATGTGATGTTGTAATTGACCTTGTTTGTCTGTAATTTTTTTTAGGTTTATGATTATTTTCTTGAATTAAAAGACGACGAACACAATTTACTTGCCCCTCCAATTGAAGAACCATGTAGTTCTGTAAAACATCTCCCATAGTAGGAAACCCACTTCAGTCTACATTCACCCTTTTCCTTTGAAGTTGCTCCTATAGTTTCTTATAATATCAACCCTCAACCAACACATGTACATATTAATACACATGCGCATGGTCATTAAGGGTTGGAAGAAATATCAATTTCTTTTGAACTTTCAAGGCTCTATTAATACTCATTTGACTAATTTAAATAACATAGTGACATGATTAAAGTTTCAAGTCAGTAAATTCGAAAAACCATAAAAACAACCACATGGGGATTTTGCGAATACATAAATAAAAGAATCCCCACAAGCCAATTTAATTCAGAGGATTAAGGCTAGAGGAAATAGAAGAAAGAGACAAATCAATTCCCAATTTATTGTTTTTGAGCGGAAGAAAAGGAAAACAATAATAGAGAAGGTGATTGAAGAGGTAAATAAGGTGGAAGATGATGAGCCTAGTCCACAACAAAATCAACAACTAACATCTAATAAGTAACATGTTGAAGATGTAATTATATACGAAGAGTCTGTTTCACAGCAACCTGCAACTGCTAACATTTTTTTTTGAGCCACCAACTGTACATATTAAAGATGCAAAACAAGTTCAAGAAACACCATTTAATAAAGAGGAAGTTGAAGATGTGGAAAAAAAGGAAGAACCCTTTCCGTAACAATATATAAATGTTGACATTATTTCTGACCCAAAAACTTATATAGAAGAGGTTGAAGACGTACAAAAAGAAAAAGATCCACACGAATCAGACATACAACTTGTGACTGATGACTACCTTGATAAGGTATATAATGTTTACTTCTATTACTTGTTCTCCGAAATCAAATATTGGCTTAAATGCTGATAGTTGCTGATCTTATAGGTCTGTCCAATACTACTGGTTATTACATGTGGGAAACAATTGATCTTTGCTGTAGCAAATTCACAGATTTATTAATGCATCTTATTTTTTTGAGCATTGCATTATTTTTTTATATATCTGCGACACTGATTACATATTTCAAATACAGTGGAGATATTTTTATTAATATGTGTCAAATTTCATTGATTCGATGCTATTTCGAAGAATTGACTAACAGTTGGTTAGAAAATGAACAATTGGATTCTTTTGCTATGTTAATGGAAAATAAGAGGTGCAAAACACCCCAATTATACAAATCCTACTTATATGTGTCTCCACTCAATTGGATAAGTATTAAGGTTGACATGTTTTAAAATGCCTTTACATACAAATAACTTATTAATAGTTCCTATTTCTTTTATGCAGTTGTGCAGAAGAGTTAATGCGAGAAACTTTGTTGATCACATTACTAATGATAATATTAAAAATGTTGAGTTACTCCTCATTTCAAGGATAGTATTTGCGGAGGTCACGCGAACGTTACGGGGCGATTATTGGGGTGGTACTGCGTCGTGAGCGAGGAGTGGTTACGAGTGTGGTATTGAGTGATTATCAGAATGTTATTGGCTCTTTCAGGTGGTGGTTACTCGATCGGTGCCGCGAAGTTATTCGATCGATATAAAATTTTTAGTGGGAGTTATAACTGCGGGACCGATTGGTTATTCAATGGCTATTGGCACGAGCCGGGTCGGCGGGGCGCGCACATTAAATTTATTTTTTTATTGCATTTTTTATTGGTGGGGCCATTATTGCTCAATTGACATTGTTCTATTGACTGTTGCACGCAGCACTGCGTCCATTCTCTGTATCGAATAATTTCTCCTCCTAAAGACGACACCATCTAGACGGTGAATCCCTTCCGAATCAACACTATCAATTAGGGGAAAAAAATATATTTCCACTGCGTCCATTCTCTGTATCGAATAATTTCTCCTAAAGATGACACCATCTAGACGGTGAATCCCTTTCGAATCAACACTATCAATTAGGGGAAAAAATATATTTTAACTGATTAATTATTTTGTATGGTTATTACACTTGCTCTTCATAAAATGATGCATATGAAAAGGTTATTTCACAGAATATAAATAGTAAATTAATGAAATAATAATATATGCATGCCATTTTTTTGGTTTCATTTTTGGGCAAGTGCCCGTCTATCTTTTGGAAATCGAAGTAGTCTAGGGTTTTCACGAAGCTTTACTCATCAGAATCCTTTCGTTTTCCTCCAATTCATGGAAGACCCGAAAGCAGAGAATGTTACAAATGCACGCACCCCTCCAGGGACGGAACAAACGACAGATGAGAAGTATCTATCTGATCCTGCAGAGACAGAGTTTGAGGCCGTCAGCATTTCTCCGCGGGAGGAGACGTCAGTGAGATCACCGTTGGTCGACTTACGATTCCATGCAACGCAGCCCTCGGAGGGTCAGGAAGTTTTTTTAGAGACTGCCACCCCGAGAGCTGACATGCATTCGCCGTCATCTTTGGAAGACGAGCAAGCTCCTTTTTGTGAGGCCGTGCAGGCTGCCGCAGAGCCCCACAGAGTCTCTCATGCGGAGGAAGATGAAGTGCTGGCTTCTGAGAAATCTTTCGTGTGTGTTGAACACAATGGCCCAATACTTTTGGAGGGAGGGGAAGCTTTAGTCCCTGAACCCGCTACACCGCCGCCGCAGGAATACATGGAAGCTTCCTTGGGGCCTGCACAAGGTGGAGCTGAACCTTATGATGGGTTCGTGAAGGGAGAGTTTGATCCCGACCCTGTTTATGAGGTTGTCTGTGACGAGGTTGCTGGACATGAGATTGTGATGGCTGGAGATCAGGTTAAGGCTGCTTGGGACGAGGTTACTGAAGAAGCAGTTGAGTCTGCTGGAGAGGGTGTTGATGCCGCTGGTTCTGGAGATGGAGTTGTTATTTCTGAAAATGAGTTCGCTGTAACAATTGATGTGAGAAGACGAGGTGCAAGGAGGCGAAAGCGGAGTCGTGCATCCTCCAAGGTGCAGGGCACTAGGTTTCCTTCTCGAAAAAAGGTGGAGGAGGAAGTTTGCTTTATATGTTTTGATGGTGGTGACTTGGTAGTTTGTGACAGGAGGTGATTTTACATTCTTTTTGCATGTTCTTCAGTTTTATTTTTTCTTACTTAATTGCAGACTGCTTAATGGTTCTCTCTCTTTGTTTCTTCATAGGGGTTGCCCAAAGGTATATCATCCTTCCTGTGTCAATCGTGAAGAATCCTATTTCCAGTCAAAGGGTCAGTGGAGTTGTGGTATGTTCTAAATGGTTAGGTCTTTCTCTTTCTATCACCAGCTGTTTGCTTTATGTATCAATTATAATGGTTAATGAAATGTGGTTTTCTTACATTTATCAAGTTTTTCCAGTTTTATTAACTGTCATCAGTAGATTGCTGTATTAGTTATAATATAAAACTGTGTCATAGGGCTGAAAAATATTTCGGCTTTATCTTGGTGGAATTGGCAGAGTTTTCAATTTATGACTAATTCCTAGTAAATAACCCCTCCGTAATAAACATTTATTTACCAATATAATTAAGCAACTGTATTGAACAGCGAAGTTAATAGATAAATAGAAAACTCTATATTTTTTACACTCATTTTCCATATGAAAGTTCCATGTTCCTAAATAATTAAACTTAATCACCATATAAAAATAATACCTACCCATGGAGTGAGATATTATATCACTAAAATATTGATTCATGGGATGCATACCGAAGCTTCTTAAACCTTAAAAGAAATAGGAGCGAGTAAATCTTGCTCCTCAAGAATGCGTTACTATTATATTAAAATAGCAAAAGAAATTGGAGGTAGTTCTGCAAGAAAAAATCTCTCAGGTAACACCTATGCATTGAAGCATAAATGGAAAGGAACACGGCATGGTCAATAAAATGGCATATTCTCAAGGAATGCATGCATTCAATAACTCCGAATCAAGTTAATAAATCATGTTCAACAAAGTTTGGTTGTAGCTAGAAATCATCAAATATCAATAAACAATATTTCACCGTGATTATAAGCAATTTACTAACAACGATAACAAATGCATGCAAAAAATTGAATAATGAGAACCCACATTATTGTATCATATATGTACATATGTGTGTGCACATGAACGTAAGTGATGCTCTATTTATGTAATAAATTATCAATATCATGCAGTAAAATGTTAGTTACCTATAAACCATGTTTTTAAATGAAGTTTTTTTCATAAACTGATGGAGTTTAATGACCACTCATGAAAGTCATCATTTTAAATATCAAGCTGCAGGACATACTATTTAGAGTTATATAAATCGTGAGGGCAGCAATAATCATATTCATCAAGGCAACAACAATAGCTATCTATGCATATGAGATCTCAAGAATATTATATAAAAATAAATGTGCTATGAATTTTTGCGTGTGATCCATCGGCAGGAGCCAAAAGTTATAAGAAAATGAATGCCAAATGTGCTAAAAGCAAGCATGATGATGACTTGAATGTTGAAGCTATCCAATTCCATAGATATTGATATTAACAAACAAAATCATTCATTAGCTTCACCATTAATCTTCAACATAGGAAGATAACATATTTTCATAATCAATTTAAAGGCAAAAATTGTTAAGGTTATAATGCATATAGATGAACGCTTAGAATTTTACTTTATATAATTTATGTATGTACATAAATTATCAATATCATGTAGTAAAATGTTAGTTACCTGTAAACCATGAATTTTAATGAAGGTTTTTCGTAAACTAATGGAGTTCAATGATCACTCATGAGCATCATCATTTTAAATATCAAGCTGCAGGCCATACTATTTAGAGTTATATAAATCATGAGGGCACCAATAATCCCATTCATCAAGAAAATAATAATAACCATCCATACATATGATATCTCAAGAATATTGTATAAAATTAAATGTACTATGAATTTTTATGTGTGTGATCCATTGGCAGGACTCAAAAGTTGTAAGAAAATGAATGCCAGATGTGCTAAAAGCAAGCATGATGATGACTTGAATGTTGAAGCTATCCAATTCCATAGATACTGATATTAACAAACAAAATCGTGTATTAGCTTCACTATTAATTGTCAAGATAGAAAGATAACATATATTCATAATCAATGCAATGGTGAAAATTTTTAAGATTATAATGCATATGGATAAACACTTAGAAATTTACTATATATTGCGATAGAAGTCGAGGGATGTTGACCTTTTGCATTCATCTTCTAATAAGGAAAACTCACCTACCTTGCAGTGCAATATTTGAACTCAAGCTAGCTTGGAATACCAAAGTGTTGAACAACTTTGGATTTCAACTCACACAAAATTTAGAAAAGTATATTAAATTTTGTTTTAATTTTTAAAAATGTATGAGTAGGAAAGTTGAATTTTGGCATGGATTTTTCCAAAAATTATGCTTTTGGAGCTGTTTAGCCTGAACTAAACCCTTTATGGTAAATTGTAAAATTTAGAGTAATTTAAGTTAAAGACCGATTGCTGTTTGATCTAAGCTAATCTATGATAATTTTTGTTAGAATCAATCATGCAAAATGAATCAATGCAATGTACCAAACATCATGAAGAGAATGGATAGTGTTGCAAGGTTTAAAATTGTGCAATTGGATATTAAAGCATTTTTTTTTAGGCAAGGCATTTCAACTTGAAATTAAATTATTAAATCTATTAAAAATATTCCCAATAAAGAATTTGAGTAGTCCTTTTTAGGGCTCAATAATTTGAGCTCAAAATTTACCCATTAAAGCATATGTGATTAATCCAATTGTGTCACAGTAACATCAATCACAATCACTCAATAACGAGCAAGGTAGTTAAGATGAATAAGTAAACATAATTAAGAAGCTAAATTATATAGTTAAGATGTCCTAAAATAACGTAGTTGTCTCAAGACTTTTAATTTAAGAGTCTGTCGCACTTCCATCACTTAGAAGGTTTTCAATAGAATCAACTCCTAGTTATTATTATTTTTTTCTCTCTTCTCACTTGTATCAGCAACCTTTGAAACTGCATTCTTTTTTTCTCAATTTTTAGTTTTCCCTAATCAATAAAACATATTAAGAATATTATATAAAATAATGCTATTATTGACCTTTTATGATTTCTATTATATAAAGTTCTATGCTAACTTATTTTACTTGATTGACTTTTGTTATTTTTGTTCATTCCTTCACAAGAAAATATCAGGGAGAACTTTCCATTGAAATATAATGTTGAAATTTTAATTTTATCCTCCGAAAGCCATTCATCATTCAAGATACATCATTAATAACTTGAAGATTTTTATCACCTCTCAGTTTCACACAAATTATGAAATTGAGGTGTACATCTCATTACATTCCCCTTAAGGCATGTCTCTTTGCTCATCCCAAACAATTGAGGCGCATGCCCCTTTCTCTCATTGTGAGGCATAAGCCTTAAGGTGCTTTGCATGCATCTCAACCTTAGGTGAGCCTCAAATTATGTAATTTTAAACAATGGTGTGTTGTCCTATATATTTTTCTTATTAGCGACTAAATATTTGTTGGTTTGAAACCTCAAAAAACATTGCAAATTTTTATTGGAGACAAAAAAAATTGATAACATAACAACTATAACTTGTGATATGAAGTGTCATCTAAATGAGTTGAAATATATCACAATAACCGATGGGGATAGGAAAATAGGGGTGAATATAAAAAAAAGGTGAAGAGTGGCAATGACAGTGGTTGTGGATCCAACCAACAAGCAATATTGCAATAATGTAAGTGCACTATTTTTTTTAAATGACTGACAATGATATTAAGGATAGTTGTTCTAACAGGCACTCACATTATTAACCAGTTATCCACAAAGTTCTTTTGGCACCCAAGTCATAAACAAATTCTTTCATACTTCAATATCTTAAGTATTCTTATTCCTAAAATGTTTGGAAGATTGTCTTTGTTTGCATGTTTTTTCGAAACAGAGAAATACTTGATCGTTGAGTAAATAAATGTTGTCATTTAGCTATTCTTTCCCGCAGAAGGGTATACATATTACCACCCCTCTTTAGAAATGGCGTATGTGTCTATTAATGCCACTTTCAATGAAGTATACTATTTTATTTTTACTTACCATAAGGAAGAAATATCATTCACAAATGATTTTTTTCTTCTAGTTTGTCTTTTCTCACTCCTCAACCCAACAAACAACTTTATCCCATAACCAACCACTCTTAACTGAATTGAGCCTATACTTTGGTCACTTTCTACTCAATTATTACAGGTTTACTCAATCAATGAACATCTTAATCTATACAAGATCAATTAGTCAAATCAACCCCAATCCCTATATTTATTTAGGAAATCACTAAGCCTACTAATGAAGGTATAAAAATTTATATTAAATATCCCCTATACTTGTTTTTATCATACAAAAATCTTTCTCATGTTTGCCAATTATTTCTTATTAGCTTGCATACTACTCTGTCCTCAAATCAATCTCTCTAGCTTTAAATAACATGTACTGAAATGATGCCATAAAAGAAGGGAAAGAAACCAATGTGATGTAGATGAGGCTTTATTGTAACATGTAAATCCAATGGTTCATTAGAAATATGTAGAGTCAGACTAGTCACCTAAAGGCTACACTTAAACATTTATGATTGATTATTTTGAAAATTTTATTTCAGCTGCTAAAATAAACATAATTATTGTTCTCTTATCTTTAGTAGCCAGCAGGGACTAAAAGAAATAACAATTCAATGTGAAAACATCTTATTAGCTACGTAAGAGTATGTTATGTGAAGATTCGACTGAGATTTGGCTCAAATATAAAAGAAACGGTATGTGTGCTGAAAGGTGTTGCATGGGCTTAGCAATCCCTAGGCGTATGGTTCGAAAGGTTCGTTATGCTCAACATGGAGAATAAATAAAGTCAATGAGATAATACATTATTTGTTAAACATAGGGATTCGGGGAAGTCTGTACTAGTTATGTTGCCAACATTATGATGACATGTGATGACTTGAAATAAATTAAAATTTAAAAGAAAAAAATAGCTTAAGGAATTAAGTCAGAGAATTAGATAAGTTAAATAAATTTCATGGCATTGTAGTTGTATGCTCTTGATATGAAATTTTCATATGGTAATTTAAAAAGTGACCTGCTGAAAGAAACTGGTAAGTTAGGATTCAAACTTATCGACGGCCTCATGTTTGGATGCTCCAGAAGACGCAAGAATAGAAAAATATCCTATTAAGGATTGGTGGGAAGACTTGCATTTTTTCACATACTAGATTGATATTGCATGTGCTATTAGTATTGCAAGTCATTTCATGCACAATATAATTAATCACATCTTAAGGCAATATATAGAATTCTATAATATTTGAAGGGAATTTGTAGCAAAGGAATTTTATTCAAAATGAAGGAGGATTTGACTCTTATGGCATATATAGATGTGGATTATGTGGGTTCTATTGTTGACATGAGGTCAATTTTTGGATATTACATATTTTTATGAGTCAATCTCAATATTTTGAGAAGTAAAAACAAAATGTTATAATTAAATTTAGAGTAGAAGTCAAATTTAGATGTATGGCGCTAGGATTATGCTAATTGTTATGGTTAAAAATTATCTTGAAATATTTAAAGGTTGAATGAAAATGTCCTATGAGGTTTTATTATGATGATGAATTAACTATCATATTACATGTAATCCCATGCAACTCTACCGTCTAGAGTATATTGAAGTTTATAGATACTTTATGAAGGGGAAGCATGATAATGGTTTAATCTGTAATCTTCTTGTAACCACATGTGAACAATTTGCTGACATTTTTATGGAAGGATTATTAGGAACAGGTTTTAGAAATTATCAAGCAAGCTTGGATTGGATGACTTTCATTCATTTTTTTTGAGGGTGGTTGTGAAACACTTGCAGTTTCTGCTAGTGCGGATGCACACTGACAATCAGTTTCATCTGCTTTTCTTCCTTTCACTGCGATCTCATTAATTTCTGTGATCTTTATATTCTGAAATTTTATATGTTTTCTAGCAGAAGCTCTCTTAATATAATGTAAAGCAAATGCTGGAATGAAAAACTCAATCAATTTTCTAGTGAGATCTAAATTTTACATTTGTTCTTAATATAATGTAAAGCAAATGCTGGAATGAAAAGCTCAATCAATTTTCTAGTGAGGAATGCTGTTAGCTGCATGTATTTTGGGTGGGAGCGAATTGTGGGCGTCATCTATATGTTTTGGTCCTCTAATGATAAGTTAATAGTTATGTTCCGAAAAAGCAATGGTTAATGTGACGGCAGGCTAAGTAGAATTCTCTAAAAATAAAATCCGGTGAGTTAGTTGAGGTTTGGGGATGCATTGTATTTTATAAATGGTAACTATATGGTAATTATTTGTCTGAGTTGTAATTGCAATTGCTTGTCTATATTTTTATGTTCTTTTGTAATGGATTAATAACCAAGCCACATTATCTTGGAAACTTCAACCATTTTAATGATAACATGTAGGTTTTCAACCAACAATTATGGATTCATTTTTTGAAGGAGTGGGCTAGATTCAGATGTTGTAACTTATCTATTTTTACTTCTCGTTAAAATACAATTAGCTAATGATCCGATTAGGAGAGTAGATGTTTTAGATTCGACTTGTGTTAAGAAAGGTAGAGGGTAGATCTAGGAAGACTTGGGCTTATTGTATAAAAAATAATCTTAATTTACTAGAACTAAATGAAAATTTAACACTAAATAGGACGCAATGGAAAGGATTCATGTAGCCGACCCCACGTAGTGGGATTAAGGCTTTGTTGTTGTTGTTGTTGTTGTTGTTAAAATACAATTATCTACTCCATTTTTTTTTTGCTAATTTGGGACTAAAATTCTCAAATATTATTGTTCATGTGATCTTATTATGTTCCTTGTGAAAAAATTTGCTAGGAATTGAGAAGGTTAGATTTGGATTTACTATTTCTCTATGATTTCCCTTTAAATTTCAGGTTTAACCATTAACATTTTAGGGTTGTGAGTTTGTCGTGATCAGTTTGTCTGCCTTTCAATGACCTTGATTTGATTTTTTGTTGATTAACACTTTACTTGAGAGTTAGAAGATCTTCTTGTAGTTGACTTTGTAAAGGCATCCACTAACATAATCTTTAAAGTTTTGGGGAAAAGTTCCATCACATAGCAAAATGATTAGTAAATGTTGCAATTAAATACTATAAACGTCCTTGAATATAATCTTTTAAATGATCTTACACTCGATTATCTTTTATAAAACAATGCAATGATCAATTAAATTCGCAATTCCTTTTTACAATGTGATAAGGGTTTTGCTTTTATTCTATTTGAAAGTTCAAGCACTCTCAATGATTGCAAAAATATGCTGTTACCAGCCATGCAAATTTTTTCATTGACCTTGAAAGTTACGATGCCTCCATTATTACTTATTCTGCATCTAATAGAAAGTGCATCTTATTTTTTATTTGTTGTAATAACTTTTGCTTTAAGCCTCAATTGTAGATTTCAGTTTAGCTATAAAAAATCTTCTATTAATAATTTTTCTTGCCATACTTTCTTAGTTAATGCAATTAGGATTAGGTTCGTTTATTTATATGGGGCTATTTTAGTCCCAAATTATTTACTCCAGTTTAAAGCCCTTGATTTCCTAAATATTCTCCAAAGTACTTTTACGATTAGATACATTGTTTAATTTTACAAGAAATTTACATGTTGGAAAATATGGTTTTTTGTTGCAAACCGAGATTTATGAAAAGCTTTATTTTATGCAAATTAGCCTCATTTTCCATCTCATTCCTTAACTTCGCGTGAAATTTTTTTGTCATATTTGATAATAATTCTATCTGTGGGGCTATTTTGCATAATATTTGAGGAGTTCATCGATCAAATTGGACACTTCAAATAATCTATGGCTTAAATAACCTTCATCAATAGTCTAGAGACCATTTGACCATTCCCTTGTTATTATCACACGGGAAGCGTAGTAAGGGCATGGAGATAGCAGGTTTGAGTAGGGACATAGGCATTACATGTTTATGAAATTTTAACTGTGTAAGACTTTCAATTTTCTTAATTGTTTCGGTTTGTGCCCTGCTAACGGTGCACCTTTTCCTCCCATTAAAATTATAATCTCACCAACCTGTATTGTTGACTCTCTAAGTACGGGCTTTGAAGGGAGATGCCATGTTAGATGCATATTTTCTGTAGTTCTATGTTCCTTCATATGATACCACCTTAGTTTTCGATTGTGCTTTGTTGCATTTGTATCCTAGATTTCACTTCTGTTTTCTGATGGATTTTTCTTACAATTTTTTTTTTTATGCAGAATGGTACCTTGTTTAACATTATTTTTATATTCTGTCCCAGGGTGGCATATATGCAGCAAATGTCAGAAACCTGCAGGCTACATGTGCTATACCTGCACGTATTCTTTATGTAAAGCATGTGTGAATGAAGCAGAATTTACATGTGTTAGAGGGAAAAAAGGATTTTGCCCATCTTGCATGGGTACAATTTTGCTCATGGAAACAAGCGAGAATGCTGATGAGAAGAAGGTATACACTTTTTTCTTTTTACGCGTAATTTTATTATGTGTATTTGTTTTAGTTTTTTAGTTGTTGATACTTTTTCAGAGATTCTTAAAGTAAGAAATAATTAATCAATCAAGCCATAAATAAATTAAGTGTCCTTGATTCGATTAAAGTTTATTTTTGTTATTTTTATTTGTAAATGTAAAGAGTTTAGCTTATTCACTATAGGTAATGTACAGATTCCCAACAGATTTTTTCACAGGAAAATGGTTTTTAATGGAAAATTCAATTTCCAGAGGATTACCAACGTATAATATTCCGTTGGTAATTTTTTGGTTGAAAATGCATCCAACGAAGAAAAGGAAAGTCATATTGGCGAATTTCTGACAGAATTTCCCTCCCAAAGTTAAGGAAAGTTGAAATAAATGACAATATTCGAAAAATACCTACACCATTGATATTATCAATGTGTGTAATTTTGCTTTAAGTTTTAGAAATAGAAATCAGTAGTATTCTGAGTTAAATATGTTAACACAGATTGATGCTTTGGGACGTGCTTTATTTTTCACTATTTTCTTGAGTTCGTTGAGAATCTACAATAACATAAAAATTAAGCGTGATTGAATAAACAATATATTCATATTGTTAAATAATTGATAATTACCTCTCAAATGGGCATATCTGTCATTACTGCACTGAAACTCCAATTTTGTCTCATATGCAGATACATTGGTAGGTGTTACATTGAGTCAAAAAAATAGGGGAAATATAATCTCTAGCATTATTTTAAGCTACTTTATAGGCACCATTCAAATAAGTTGGGCACATATCCTTAAAGAATGGATTGATTGAATTCAATTAAGGGTTTCACTATTTCTTGGGTGAAGTATTAAATGCAGATGACAACAATCATTGTAAGAAAATAGGAGCATTATGCTTTTCATTTCAAATACCTTCTTTATTTTCAGCTCAACATATTTACTCAAAATTGATGCATACTCGTTAGACATTTTCAATATTGCTGCACTCACAAATTGCTGTCTGCTGATCTACCTTGAGATAATACTTGATTTTAGGCTTTAAAAATTCAGCACCTGCAGTCTCTTGAAGCTCTCACTCTCTTTTTTATAATATTTCCTTTAGTTCATTTCGACCTCCTGTTGACCTCATTTTTAGCGAGGTCTAGTCTTTCTCTTAGGATTTAGGATCTAGCCTTAGGGATCTTCCTTCAACTATCATAGAACCTTAGAAATGGGACCTGCCTATTTTTAATTCGACCTACTTCTGTCCTCTCTTGTGGTTTGACGCGTGTGGTGTCAACTTCTAGCACCTAGAAGGGTGAAACCGGCATGAGGAAACCCAAAAGGAACTTATAGGACTCCAAGCCTTAGGAAAACATTGTCATGATCTTTTCGTCACACACACACACCAATTGCACAAAATTCACTGAGTTGCACGAAATCGGACTTCAATTAAGCCCAGAGGAGGGGTCAAAATGCGAACTTTTTCGGACGACCTCCGACGACTAATTGGGTCGCGTCAACGCGTCCGGGATACCAATTTTGGTAGGAAAGGACACCCATATTGCCATATTTTCGATACGAAAAAATTGACACGCAAATCGATGAATTCATCCGAGGGACCCCGGATGACAAAACGGACTGCACCGTCACGTCCAAAACGTCGATTTTGCCTAGGGAGGACACCCATTTTGCTTGGGCACCACGCACAAATAAATCGCATGAAATTTGATAAATATATATGTATTTGTATATTTATAAATAATATATATATATATATATATATATATATATATATATAATATTTTTTTTTTAAAAAATACCTTAAATATCTAAATCCCTAAATCCCTAAATCCCCAAATCGTTAGCACGCGCTCCCTCTTCCTCCCGTTCGCACGCGCCTTCTTCCTCTCGTTCGCGAACCGGCCCTTTCGCCTCAGTCGAAGCTCTTCGTCGCGAGAAATCGACCCGAGGTCCCCTCATACGTCTGTCGCTCTGCCTAAAGGTCGTTCCCTTTCACCACGCGCTCTGTCTTCACCTACTCCAGACGCGCTCCGACTTTCCCCTCTCACGCCTCTGTGATTCTCGTCGTCATCTCCTCACGCGAGGTTTGTCGTTTCTCTTGGCTCGGCTCACCGCTCAGGTAAGTGACGGGAAATGCATCTCCTCTTCCCTGACTATATAAACCTCATTTTGGGGAGTTCCTAGGGCTGAACAAAAAAACTTTTGGGGAAAGGGGAAGTGCTGCTGGATTTTTGTGGCTTGTTTGGTTTCTTGCTGGTTCACCCGATACCTTGGCTTGGTTGCTTGGTTGCTTGGTTGCCTGGTTGTTTGCTTGGCCATTGATATTTTAGATTGAAGCTTTGATAGAAGAAGGTGCTGTAGAAGTTTTTCTGGGTCTATTCTTGTATTTACTTTGGATTTGCGCCAAGAGGTAGCCTCTTTCCCTCCCTTAAA